GGGGGGGGGGGGGGGTGAGTTTGGATGGTGCAGATGACCGGGGGGGAAAAGATGAAAAGGAAAGATTTTTTGGGGGGCAAGTGACTAAATCGACTGACTGAGCTGTTGAGTAAAATCGGCGACGAGATTTTCTTCGAGAGGGGCGTGCTTCTCAATGTACTCGGACAAGTCACCGCCCTCGCAGAACTGCCGACCAGGAGCCAGGCAGAGGGTGCAATGAGCCTTTGGTGGGAGCAAGCCTCGTATCACGCATCGCAGGCCGCCGTACCTCAGTGACGAGGCAAATGTCGTCACGTGTATCGATGCGTTCATAGAGCATCATGATGTTGGGATGGTCCATCGCCTGGCCAGGAGAAAAAGCGAGCCCCGTGCACACCAGGCGTGAGTTTGAAAAGACGAAATGAAAAGCGAACAGAGGAAGGCTGAGTTGTGTCGCGGCTTGAGCGACGAAAAGGTGACTGGGACCGACGAGGTCGAGCACGCGCGCACCTGAAGAATTTGAATTTCCTGCTCGAGGAGCCTTTGGGCTTTTTTCTTCTTGAGTTTACCACGCACGATGCGCTTGATGGCGACGGGAAGGCCATCGTTGCGCTGGCCGCGATAAACCTCGGCAAAGCTACCGTGACCGAGGCAATCCTTGAGGCGGTATTGGTAGTCGCCAATGACGCGCACACGCGCGTCCTCCTCGGCCGAGCGAGTCTCCATGTTGGGCTGGTCAGCCCCACTGTGGTGCGCAGAACCAGCTGAAGGCGAGACTACCACATCCGCCTATTAAGATTGATGAAAGACGAGCCAACCAGGGCATGGGCCAGGCGACAACACGGCACGTCAAGCAAAAACCGACGAGGTGAGAGACTGTTCGAGATGATATTTTTTTTAACATGTAAAAAACAGTGTGTGTATGAAGTGGTGCTGTTTCTAGACAGGCCAAGAAGGACGACAACAAAACAGGGTTTGTCGGCGCAGCACCGAGGGTCAAGAAGCAAGGGTCAGACACATCCAGCTCACATTTGGCTCATGCCAGCAGGCGCTGAGAGCAACGAAAGCAAAAGAACACGTCAACAAAAACTGCCACGAAACACTTTCACCCATTGGGCCTTGGGCCTTGGGCCAAGCGCCAACACACAGAAGCCAACATTCATCAGCACAAAACGTGAAAACCAAGGAAGAAAAAGATTTCTGACAAAGTTGAATCGAATCGTTGACGAGCAACCAACGAGCAAGCAGTACCAAGCAAAGGAGAGGAGGTGGTCCAACCAAATTGGAAATGCACAACTTGCTAGAAATGAAGACTACGTAACCACGAAACAAAACGCACAGAACCGCCAAAAATAGCATCTTGCCCAACAACGGCTCGCGACAAAATAATATGAGAGAGAGAGAGAGAGAGAGAAGCTGATGATGCGATGTTGTCAATCAAAACAAGCACAAGGCTTGATGAAAAGGCAGCCAAACAAACAGAGCAAAAAGGAGAGAGACAGAGACAGAGGTAAGGGAGAGAGGGAGAGAGGGAGAGAAACACATGCAGAAAGAACAAGAAAGCGATGACGCCGATGACGCGCTCACACACACACACACACACACGCACACACACACACAAAGTTGGAACACGTCTGCGGTGTCAATCAATCAACATACATGGCGGGCATGGGCGGGCGGCGGTGCGGTCATATCCGCAGCTGCATGCTGATGCGTGTGAGGCACTACGCGACCGGGCTCGGTCGACGCAGGAGCGTGGGGCGGGCCGGTGTTATCCGTGATGCAGGCCTCGCAACAACTGCGTGTCCAAGGTTGAAAAAGCACAAACAAAGCTGCGAAATGCAAGTCGCGTTTCGCAAAAGTTGGTTCAGCAACGGGTGACGCTGCAACCCTGGTGAAGAGGGAAGAAGGCACCAATTCAAGCAGTTATGCAAAGGTGTCGCCGAGGAGACAGCGGCGACCGATGATGATGCGTGAGAGCAGTAAGGAGGTCGCGCCCAAGATCAAAAGAGGGATTGATCGCGACACCGAACCCGCTCAAACAAGAGACCCAAGCGAGGGCTCCCGACACAAGCGGAAGGAAAGCGGAAGGTGCAAAGAGGGAAGAGAGAACACAGCCCGCACTGTTCGCAAGGAAGGTGCGATCGAAAGAAAAAAATAATTTGAAGAGAGAGAGAAAGAGAGAGAGAGAGAGAGGGCGCGTACGAGACGCGAAAATGGAGCTCATTGCATTGAGAACAAAACAAACGAAACAAAAAAAAAACAGAGAGAAAAGAGACACAACACACACACACACACACGCACATACACACATACACAGAAGCCGAGCGAGGTTGTTGGACAGAGGCGGTGCAAGGGGCCAGCAATGCCCATAACAACTTCTTTGACATGTTACAACCTGTCTGCTCGTGTTGTGTCTTCGCACATCTCGTGAGTGACAACAGATCTTGCTTGGGATTCGAGGCAGCGCTCGCTCGCTGAAGAGGGTATGAAGTTGTCTTTTTTGACACGCTGAACGCACTGCCCTTGGACAACACCATGCCCTGCTCTTGGTTATGCAACCCCAGATCCTCTCTTCTCGTTCCCGGCAGCTGTTCCCAGACCATTGTCGTTAACGGTCACTCACTACTCTTCTTTCTTCATTCGGCTCCGGAAGAAGAAGCAGAAGAAGCAGAAGAAGCAGAAGAAGAAGAAGGTATTTCTGTCTGACAATGGCATAGGTGCCTCTGCTTTCTGCTTCTGCAACTTGTGACGCGGTTCGTCCGTTTGGCCTTGCCAATGGCGCATTGTCGCGTTCGCTGCTTAGGGAGGAGCCAGCCAATGACATGGTGGGCGCGCCACTGACGTCGACGATCCTGCCTGACGCCTTGGCAAGAATGATGGCCTGCTTTCTTACTGTATGCATGTCCAAAACCCAGGCTGTCCCATTGGGATCTGAAAGCACTGACCGATCCCATCATCACACGATCGATAGGGCTGCTGCAAGGATTACAGCGACCTGCGGGTGCATGCATTTCAGAGATGCCACAACATACGTAACCTTTTGGGTTTGAAACATAAAGTTGATGGTCGATTGTTACAGCCGATCAAGAATCCTTCCTTGCTTCCCCTACTCGAGCACGGCGTGCTTGCGTCCGAGAGCCACCGTTTGAAAATCGCCGATGCCCACCCCCAGTCAGGCTGACCGAGAGAGAGATGGACAGCGAGTCACGAGAAACAGAGCAAACACAAACACACCACACCAATGGGAAGGTTGGCCCAAAGTTGAAGAAGGGAGACAAGAGCAGAACAAGTAGTTTCGGATGTAGAAAAAGTACAGGGTCACCCCGGTCGGACACAATCAGACCTAAACAAACCATGCCATGCCTCGCTCTGCCTTCAAGGACATACCGTGCTGAGGTCCACTATACACGATCCCTCCCCACCTCGGAGGTCTCCGCACCCCCGCCCCCCCAGCCCGCTCTGAGCGACGCAGCAGGCGTAACAATGTCAGCCTTTATTGTCAGATCAATCACATTGTCATCCTTTTAAGTTATATCTGACATTCTGGCACCATGTTGAGCGACATGGGAGGTCAGCCCAACACGGATGGCGGCGACCATGAGGCCAACGCCGGGGGTCAGGGAGGGACAGCGACAGCACGATCAGCGCAGGCGTATGAAGGGATGCGGGCGCTGCGTCAGGGAAGTTGTGCCAGCTGTGAGACCCCGGTACAGCCCGGTGATTTGCTTTGGCCGTGTACCGCGCCCGGGCCCAACGGCCGCCGCATCTGGAAACATCTGGCTTGCGCGCAGCGTGAGGTGGACGGCCCACTTGTCAAGCCGCAGTGCAAGCATTGGCTGCGCACGGGCACTTGTCGCTACGGGACCGACTGCTTTTTCCTTCACCCCGAGCCCGAGGGCCAGCATCGCCGGGCCCAGTTGCTGGCCGAAGCACAAGACCGCGCGCGCCGGGCTCGCCCTGACCGGCATGGCGAACTGCGCGTGGCCGTTCAGAACCGGGGACCGGGCCGGCGCAACAAGGTGCGCAACGCGTTTCGAGCGGCTGCCTTTCGGCGCTTTCTAGTAGACACCTTTGGCCTTGAAAGTCTGCGCTCGGGCACCGGCGTACTGGACGTGGCCTCGGGCAAGGGTGACCTGGCCTACGAACTCTCGGCTCTGAACGGTGTCCCCGTCACGTGCATCGAACCGAGACAACTGCGTCTTCAGCAAGTGGTCTTGCGCCTGCGTCACAACTACTACCACCAAAACCCTCTTTTTGCAAGCTACAATCGCTTTCCAACCCCGGCCGAATGCGAGGCCCAGCGTGCGCCTCTGCGTCACCTTCGCATCTTGCTGCGCCTGTGTGCAGATCGCTGCGATCAGATTGAGGCTCTATCCAGCCCCGAGGCTTGGGATACGGCCCGCACCGCAGCCCAAACTCTAGTTTGGGATCGACGTGGCCTGCACGGACCCTCTGACACTGCTGAAGCAACCTCTTCCGCGTGTACCCCAGATGCTCGCCCGTTGAGCCCCGCTCTGGCTGCCCAAGCGGCAGAACGGGACCCTTTCCCACCATCGGTAGCTGATGCTGATGTGGACAAGACAGTGGCTGCAACAGATGTCAGTCAAGAGGCCACGGCTATGCCTGCAACAGAGGCACCGCTGCCATGTGCCACGGAGGTGTGGGACCGGGCGGTTGCTTCCCAACTGGTGCATGAATGTGCCCTGATTGTGGGCATGCATCCCGACCAAGCAGCAGGGGACCTCATTGATCTAGCCTTGGCCTTGAATAAACCGTTTGCACTCACGCCCTGCTGCACCTATGCCAAGGAATTTCCCAAACGTCGCCTCGCCAACGGCACCCCCGTGCGCTCCTACTCGCAACTCCTCGACTTCCTGCAGCAGAAACACCCCTCCATTCAGCGCTGCCAACTTGACTTTGAAGGCAAAAATGTGTGCCTCTATCGTCTGTGCCCTTGACGCGCGTTCACTGCACGGTTGTCTGCACCGTTCTGGAAGCAGGCGGCTGCGACTTAGGAAGCCTGCTTGCTGAATGCCTTTCAAATGCCGCTCCAGCAGTGACCCGACTTTAATTCATTTGACTTTAATTCATTTCCCTTCCTCGAGAGACAGAGAGAGAGAGAGACGAAAATCAACAACGATCACAAGAGACACACAGAGAGATGATTGCCACACAAGTACCACATGTAGTAAAGAATTTGGCGAAAAGAGAAACACAGGTAGAATTGGAGAAATCAAGAAAGGAACAGCACAACTACCACAGGTAGAGAGATGAATTGGTTAGAGGGAAAAAGAGAAAGAGAAAGGCATCAACAACAAAGACACAAAGGACACAGAGAGAGAGGGAAAGAACAAACTACCACATGTAACAACAGGGAACAAGAGGGAGAGAGCACACACACACACACACACACACACACACACACACACACACACACACACGCGATAAAAATAAAACCGTCGTGTGCCTTCTCAGGTCTTCGGGGAGGGGGGGTGTTGGCTGGGATCAGAGTCGATTCCTTCGAGGTCACATACGTTTGCGGCACTGGAGCGGTTGTGCTGGCAGGGATGGTGAAGACGCAGGTCAACCGGTGGCTCATCATGGCCACCGGTATGTTGATGATGACCGTTGCCGGCACCATCTACTTGTACCCGGACTATGCCACGGCCCTTCGAGGCCAGCTCAACTTTTCAATCGCTGAGAGCGCTCGCATCGGCACCTTGCTCAACCTTGGTACGTGCCGGGGAAGCGCGGCCCTTGCTGATCGCGCCCTCCACGTGCACCACCGCAGATCAGCACGATGATGCTTGCGGCCTGTCAATTTGTCCCCACTCACACGGACACCCTGTCTTCCTTTGTCTCGCTTTTCTCGGAACAGGTGCCTGGATGACGGTGATTGGTGGTATCTTCTATGATCGCTTCGGTCCTTTGCGCACCGGCCTGATCGGTGCTGTCACCACCTTTGTCGGCTATTTCCTCATGTTCCTAGCTGCCCAGGTCTGAATGACAAACTGAGCTCGGCGCAAGCCAATCGTCCGCCTCACGATCAATCTGCCATCGCACATCGTCGCCTGCCGTTCCCACGCTGCATTCAGCTCACCGCCCTCTCTGTTCCTCCGCATGCAGGAGCGCATCATCCACACCTGGATTGCCGTTGGTTTTTACGCCTTTATCATGGGACAGGGTTCAGGGTAGGTTGACCAAACGCGTCGACGTTGCTGTGCCTTATCTCTCTCTTTCTTGCTCCTCCGAATGGCTCGGAGACCGCCCCTGGCTTTCCTTCACGGCGCTACTGCACCTGTACCATGTGCCAAAGATGGATGTATTGCGTGGCTCTCAACACGAGCGTGCAAAACTTTCCCGCCCGCAATCGAGGAAAGATCGTGGGCCTTTTAGCCTGTTGCTTCGGCCTCTGCTCGGGCATTTTCACACGCCTTCACGCCGGCTTCTTTTCCGAGTCCGACGGCTCAAACGGCGGCGACATTGCCCCTTTCCTTTTCTTCCTGGCCGTTACCACGGGTGGCCTTGGCCTTGCATACACATTCTTCCAGCAAATTCTGACCGAAACAACCGTCACTCAAAAGCCTGCCGAAGCCCGACGGGTCGCCGCAGGTACAGCCCATCTTGTTTGGTCGTCAACCGTTGGTGCACCCAACCACGCGGCTTTGAGCATCCCAATCCCTCATACCAACGCCATCATGTCTGCCACCTCGGCAACACTGGTCAACGGCCACAGCCTATGCCATAGCATTGGCCGTTGCCACATACATCGCGGCATCCTCCATCTCCGCCGCCTTCTCCAGCCACGATGACAGCAGACCTTTGGCCGTGGGCTTGATTGTCCTCGTATTCAGCCTACTCCTTCTCCCAGTCGGCAGCGGGCCTTGGCTTCGCTTCGGCCGCCAAGCACAATATACGCGGCTCGCTGACGACCACGAACACCATGCTGCTGATACTCACAAACTACCTCCGTCCATCAACGTAACCGCCACTTCCAACGCCCCGACCAAGACACACTACACCCTCCTCGAGGCCGTCACCTCTCTTGACTTTTGGCTCATCTTCCTCGTCCTCTTCTTTGGTGTGGGCGCTGGCATTTGCATCGTCAACAACCTCCCGGAGATTGTCATTTCCCGTCTACCCCCGAGCGAAGCCGGCAGAGTGATTGCCAGCAGTGATGTGCCTCACAGCAAGGATTCCTCCACCCTAGTCGCGCTGGTAAGAAGCACCCTGAGGGCAAGCATAACCCACACCTCTTGTTTCCCGTGATATTATTACTCCCGTGCCATACCCTTGACTGGGCAGCTCATACCGTGCCAAACCGGGCCTTTGCTCAGTTTAGCGTCTTCAACACGTGTGGTCGCTTGCTGAGCGGTTATCTCTCCGACGCCTTTGCGCACCGTATCTCGCGCCTGGGCTTCCTAGTCATGGGTAGCCTTCTCATGGGAGCTGTGCAGGTCTGTGGCGCTCGCCTTGGAGATACCCGGAACAAAGCAGCCGTAATTACTTACGTCTATGCGCACGCGCCGGGTCTCTCCAGGTGTACTTTATGTTTACCAGCATCGACGGCATGTACGGAGCAGTTGTCTTGCTCGGGATCGCCTGTAAGTTTTCGTTCATTCCGACTCAGATTTCCTCCCTTCTCAACAACCAGCTTACCTCGCCAACCCGTATTCCAGACGGTAGCTTTTTCTGCCTGGTGCCCGCTCTGGTCTCTGAGGCTTTCGGCATGGCTACGTTTGGCGCCACTTTTGGCCTACAAGGCTTGGCTCCGGCCGCCGGTATGATGCGCTTAATTCGGACCGTGCCCGCCCCGCGCACCCCGCCCTGCAGACCCCGTCCAATCGCTCCATCGCCTGCTGCTGCATTGACCTTGCTTCTGGCGCAATCTTTCTTGCGACTCCCGCACAGGCTCGGAAGTTTTTGGTACAGCCATCGCGGGCAGACTGGCAGATTCATATGCCAACCATGCACACCTGACCGTCATCACCAAGAGTGGAGACAAAGTGATCCACTGTATTGGTGCTGAATGCTTCCGTTACAGCCTGCTGTGCACTGCGGGTGGTTGCTTGATTGGTGCAGGATTGGCACTGTGGATGGCATATCGCCAGCGTCGAGGAACGGCCAACACGCTCAAGTTGCACGCGAGTTGAAACAGCCACACGCGTGTGGCGCTGTGGCGCTCAGGGATCATGCCAATCCCACTAGCCTATCTCTTTGAATTTAGTTGTAGCTTTGCCAATTTTTGACGCTGAATGGTCATCATGTGGGGCCAACGTTTAAATTTCTCGATTAGGGACGGGGCATCAAGAGGAGGCTTCACAAGCCACACACACGCACACATACACACGCGCAAGACAAGACACACATTCACAGGTGCGGTGCGACAAGAAAAAGCGGCTGGTCTATACACAAGCACAGAACGGGGCACACAAAGCCAAAACACGGCGACAAGTTGTAACATTCATTCCTTAAGCACGGGAGGTGGTACCTGCACGCTCGACATCACGGTGCACATTTTGCTCCAATGCATCGGTAGCAGAGCCATCTTCGCCATACTGTTGACGATGTTCAACGTTGTCTTGCTTGGGGGCTGATGCAGACTTTGCATACTCGGGAGGGTTGAGCGGCTTGCCGCTGGGGGTAAAAGCATCTTCAACCGTCACGCGCTCGGCCGACTGCTGCTCGGCACGCTGCATTAGCGCGTGTCGATCAGCCATGTCACGCCCCGCAAATTGCACCGTTCCTTGTGGCACTCGACCAGATCGGTACTTCAAAGCTGATTCTGTCTCCATAGCATCGCGACCCTCGCGAATGCCGCGTGTCCGGGGCCGACCAGCCTCACCCGACTGCCGAAAGTCACCTCGTTGATCCATGTTCAAATCACCAAAGGTCCCCTCGAGCTGCTGCTTGAGGCCGGATGAAGTCTTGGAGCCCCAGCGTGCCGCTTTATACGCGGCGCGATCCACGATCCTGCTCGCCTAGGACGGGCAGCACCCAATGATGAGATCAAGTAAGGCGGCAGCAGGCATCACACACGATCAAACACTGATAACGTGACGCCGACGCCATGGCAACAAACACAACCTAGCAAGAGACAAGTACGCACCTGATCTGTGACGTTGTCACCAAAAGAATCGTTCACCTTGTCGCTGGCCTCCTCAAAATTGCGCTCCATGGCATTGGCAGCCTGTTTGGCCTTGTTCTTCAAGGCCGTACCAGTTTCGGCTGCCTCGGATTCGACTCGGCCTGCGGTTTCCTGGGCCTGATGCTTGGCCTGGTTGCCCTTTTGCTTGGCAGCCTCTGCCAGGTCCTCTGCCTTGTCCTTGGCCTCGTGCTTGCCCTCCTGCACCTTTTCGGCGGCATCGTCGTACAGCTCGCTCGCCTTGTCCTTTAGCTCACCAGCCTTGTCTTTGATCGTTTCCTTGGCGGAGCTTAGTCCATCCTCAACTTTGGTCATGACATCATCGCCCTTGGCCTCGGCCTCGTGCAGCGTGTCCTTGATGGCGTGACGGCCTTCCTCGGCCCATTCGCTGGCCTTGTTGGCTGCCTGCTTGGCCGCGTGACGACCTTCTTCCTTGGCATCATCGGCGAGACGCTTGGCGTCACTCTGGTTGCTGGCGGCTGACTCGACGCGGTTGCCGAGCTTGCTGGCTTCATGGCGACCACGCTCCGTCATCTGCTCCACCTTGTCTGAGGCCTTCTCAGCAACGTGGCGGCCTTGCTCAGCGGCACGATCTGAGCTATCCATGTGCAGCACACGGGCCGTAGCGTTTTGGATGGCCTCGGCTGCGTTCTTGACCTGTGACTTGGCCTTGCTCAGCAAGGAGTCACCCTCCGCCGTATCAGGCAACATGTGCTCAACCTTTTCTTTGGCCTCGTGAGCCAGATGCTCCGCCTTGTCCTGAACCTCATGGACAATGTGTTCACCACGCTCCTTGGCGTCGTGCAACATGCTGGCGGCGTTGGGAGCGGCCTGAGCGGCCTCCTCGGCCTTGTCCTCAAGACGATCAACCGCACGGCGGCCCTGTTGGGCAGCCTTTTGGCCGAGGTCAGAGACCTCCCGCTTGGCTTGGTCCAAATTTTGTTCCACGCCCTGTACGACGCACGAGCCCAATAACAATGAGTCGCAGCAAGGAAGAGAGTTGAAACGTGCAAGTCGAGTACCAGAGATGCATGAACAAGCGAGGGGGCGAATGACCTACGCCAGATGGTGAGGGCATGGCTTGCTCGGCCTTGGAGGTCACGCGCTGCATTGACTGCTTCACGTCGCGTGCCAAGTTCTTGGCGCTCTGTGTTACCGGATTGGGGTTCGGATCACTGCCCTTGCCCAACCCTTGCGTGGCCGTTTGACCGTGGGTGTAGTTTTTGTTCATATCAAAGCTGGCCTGTGCGCTGGTCTTGCGCTTGTTGACATATTCCTCGGATGCACGGAAGGCAGGGTCTTTTTGCCATTCGCCCTTGAACATCTTGTCATGCGGCAAAGTGGGATTGCCGTCAGTGCTGAAGCGAGTATGGGCTGCTTGGTATGCCTCGTCCTTGTTGGCCGGGTTCCATTCTACCGAGATGACAAGAGTTGGTTGAGTGCAACGCATGCCGCGGGCTGCAATGATGCTGGAAGCTCATCAAAGAGAAACGGTGCGGCAAAGAGTGGTTCAAAAACTGCCGTTCGGACTTACGCATGTCATTCTCACTCGTCCGGGGACGAGCTGCAGATTGCTGTTGCAGTGAGCGAGCCGCTTGGCGGGCACACAGTGCCGTTTGTGGAAACCGAAGGTTGGTCTTCAACATGGTGGCGGTTGATTGCAAGTACACACGCACGATGGTGTTGGCAGAGCTCACTTAATAAAAGCGCCTGCTTCGAACAAAGATCAAGGCTCTCGGTGCACTCAAGATTGTATGCGACTAGACTGGGATTGAATCAGAGTTCTTGATTCACAGTTTGGTAGCAAAGAAAATGCCACCAGCCCTTCAGCCCAGGGTACATGTACAGGGCAAGCAAGTCAACAGTGGCGGCCATCGCGCTTGAGCGGCGCGTGGAGACTGCGTGATGACGGTTCCTGGAGCCCGCCAGGCACAGGCACAGGCTCATGAGCTCTCGGAAGCTCGACTTGCCAACGGCCAAGCAGGGGGACGATCACTTCATGTGCAAGGTAATGTGAGTTGGCGCATCATCTTTGCGCCTGGCCAGCGTAAAAGAATTGTAACCGTAATGGCCCCTGTGATGACGAGCAAAATTTGCGTGTCGCATCAAAGTCGATGGCATTCGAACACGATTTCTTGCACATAGACAGTGCGGCCTTTGATGATGTGAGGTCATGGGCAATAATACATCCAGTCGGAGGCGTCGAGGCGTCGAGGAGATCATCAAGCAGTGCATGTCCATGTCCATGTTCCACAACAGAATTTCCCTTTCGAGAAGATGCCAAGGAAAGGCCTCACCAACGAGGCCCGCCATCACACACACACGCCCCCACGCAGGGGGACTCAGAACTTGGAGCCCATCAAGTCATGCAGGCCATGTCGTAAAGTCAGCATGTCGTAAAGTCAGCATGTCAGCATAAATAAATACTAAAAAGACGATTGTCATCATATTTTGTCAGCGTTTATCATGTGGCGTACTTGCTTGCTTGCACCCTGCATGCGTGCAAACTTAATTCAATGCGCGCTGGGTGTCCAATGTCGCATCGGATCCCCTCTAGCTCCTTCTCATGTGTGATGCGGACACAAACTGACTCAGCCTCAATCGCGCCAAAAGCCCTTGTCTCCAAAGAAAGAACACATTGAATTGGGGGCACGCCGGCATTAATGGATAATATGACGACAAGAATCAAAAGTGACTCACACGTTGTCATGAGTGACCACTGACACCTGAGGATCGAGGACATGCATGCTGATCGTCGTTTGCTTTGAGCGTGTATGCTCCACTGCTCCCACCAAAGTGTTCAAAACCCAAAGCCACCAAGCTGGGACTTACAGAATCGCTCGCGCTTGGCGCCCCGCCCCCGGCCTGCACCCACGCGGGATGAGTCGGAACACAAGTCGGCAAGACAGCCAGTTTCGCCCGAGCAGCACTGACGACGCCGTCATGTCGCGCTTGGACTGTCAGACCAGGCTGATCAGCTTACAGTGCCCAACAAAGGCTCGCATAACCAGGCGCCGCAGCACGCTAGCGGTCCTCGGCCTCTTCTTCGGATGGCTGTCCAGTGCGATGCCAGCTCCGATCGCCACAGAGCTGCCATCAGCAGATCTTATTCTCAGCAGCGGTTTTGTGCCCACTGAGTCAGCTCTTCTTGAGGTAGGCAGTCGCACCTGCTTTCTCCCTGATGACAATCGTGAACAGCTGCAGCGATGTACGCGCACAGAAATCAAACAGCAATGTACGCCGCCTTTTTCGGACCCGAAATGATGATGGGTAATAATATTCATAGAATACTCCACTGGGCATCAAGATCCGCGCATCCAACCGAGGCTTCATGCTTCAGAAAGGCTTTGCCACCGGCATTGCAATTGAACCTGTTGAAATCGGTAAACCGTGGGCTTTGATCAATTTGCCACATCCCTTGGCCCCTGAAGGCTCATGCATGCGCGCTTTACAGGTGGGCTTTGCGGTTGCGATCGAATTGTTGCTTGTTACGATGCGCGCGGAAACAGCTGTCTCCGCCTCCGGGAGTGTGAGGACCCCGTTGGAGGCAAGCGCTGTATCAAGTTCAAGACATGCGACAATGATGACTACGATATGTATCGAAAAAAGGTGTGCTCATCACTTCATCGCACACGCCTCGCTTCTCACCTTGTACAACGTTGACAGAAGTGTGATGGTAAACTACGACAAGACGGATGTGCCCTGCCTGGAGCAATTGAAAAGCGTATCTCCTCACAACCAGACGCTTCGTGCTTTTTGGTAGGTCCCTTTGGCGGCAGTCTGCCCTGAAGGTCGACCGCCTGCTTCAATGTCTCCATTTGAGCTCAGATTGCTGGCCGCTCAAATTAAAACCGAACTGCGCGACTGCGAGCTTATTAAGCCCAAGAAGGTGTGATTGGTGACCCTTCAATCATGGCTGTTTGCCCAACTTGGCCACGCCCTCGATTGCTCCATTCATCCAACCGCACTTTGGCCCTGCACCCTTTAGCTGTGCCACTACCGGGCCGACGTTGGTGAAGACATCCTCATTCAGGGTGCAAGCACGTTCGAGTTTGACATTCTCGTCAAAAATTCCCGGGTAGGCTGCATGTATGAGTACAACCCCAGTCTTGATTTTGACTCTGACCAAACTGCACAGTCATCACTCCCCTTCCTCTCAGCATAACAAAATTCTTTTTGACATGATTTGCGCATGAGAGGACATGATTTGCGCATGAGAGGGCATGAAGATGTCTTGAACTCTGCCATCTTGAGAGCACAGCTCAATATGAACGTGTGGTCGCGTGATAGGCAAAGAAGGATATACAAGGATGTTTCAAACTGATTGAAACCCCAGTGACACTGGGCAATGGGTGTCAGCTCGCGCGTAGCCCAAAGCAACTCATCTTGCCCTCCACCTCATTCACCTCTTCTACCTCTTCTACCTCTTCTACCTCAT